ATTTGGTTGTTTTGACATTGAGAATTTTCAGGGTAAGGATTTAAAGGTCCCCTCTTTTTATTATCCCTAACTTTTGCTTGAACTGTTTCTTTTAAAGCACACAGTCAGCGGGATGCCCCAGTTTTGCCTAAGTCTCCTTCATAGGTTTTGACTTAGCGGGCTTTTTCTTTTGATTTTTGTGTGGAAGAAAGTGACCCTAGCTCTAATGATTACGGTGTACCATCATCGACTTAAAAGACATCTCCAACACTCGCTTGTGATGTGCGAAGGAAAACTTGTGAATGAAACCTTCACATGAAAGGCCTATTATAGGAATACACAACCAAGTTAACTGAGAACTACCCATGCCCCAGGTTAAGATTGTGGGTTTTTTGTAAAGAAAGAAACTCCAACTTCTGGGCTCAAAGGGGTGACAAGGGAATAACTTCCTTATTTCTCTAGTGATTGGGGATTGAAATAATGCCTTACATCATCAACAAAGTTTGATTGAAAGCATACTGACATCAGTTATGGGTATAACGTTTTCATCATCCTCCCTCCAATCTTTGCATATCAAAAATCTGAATAAAAAGGTGCATATTTTAAAAGATAAAGCATAAAGATGCAAAAAATGGACAAAATGAATTGAATCAAAATTCGCAATGGTCATTTCATTAATATAAAAGTACAATTATAATTTGAAGGCAAACATCTAATACAAAAATAAGAAAAGTACAAACAACGAGAAACAAAAGGCCTAGTGACTAAATCAGTACAAAGATGAGCCGTCCTAGTTGAAACACTGGCGTTTAGGAAAATAATCCGCTGGGATCAGGCCGAAGATTCACTTTTGATGCGCTGGAAAAGGATTGTTCTGGACATTCGGATGACTATTCTCAAAATCAAGTATTCCAGCTCTAACCAACTCACGCACTCTAGCTTTCAGTGCAAAACAATGCTCTAAGTCATGGCCTTGGGCACCCTCATGAAAAGCGCAATGAAGATCATCCCTAAATCCAGCTGGAGGAGTGTTAGGAGGAGGTGGTAAAGCCCTTGTAGTGATCAACCCTTCTCGAACCATGTCAAGATATACTTCTGTGTAAGTCATGGGAATAGGATCAAATTGATTCCTATTTCAATACTGGTTCTATCTAACAGCTGGACGTTGAGGAGTCTGAGCTGGTTGTGGAGCAGCAACAGTAGCAACAACATGATGATCAACAGATTGAGATCCATGGATGAGGCCTTCTTGCTTCAGTCATGATAGCATTGGTCTGATCCTCTTTCCTCTTTTGGAAATTCCCATAGGATTTCTTTGCACCATTAGATGATTCGGCAGCTTTGGATACCTTACCATTTTTCAAACCTTCTTCTAACCTTTGGCCAATAGTCACCAGATCTGTAAAGTTTGAAGAGACACTCCCAATCATCTTTTCCCAATAGAAAGGAGACAAAGTATCCATGAACATTCCTGTTAGCTCCTTCTCTGCTATAGGGGGTTCAATTTGGGAAGCTAACTTCCTCCAACGCTGAGCGTACTCCTTAAACGACTCTCTTTCACCCTGAGACATGCTTTGAAGTTGACGATGATCAGGAGCCATGTCCAAATTGTATTTGTATTACTTCATAAAAGCGTTGGCGAGATCCTGGAAGCAGTGGACACTGTTATTATCTAAGTTCATATACCATTTGAGAGAAGCACCACTCAAACTGTCCTGAAAGCAATGGATGAGCAGCTTCTGATTGTGGGTGTAAGATGCCATCCTTCGGAAGTACATGACTAGATAGGCTCTTGGACATAAGTGACCTTTATACTTCACAAACCCAAGAGTCTTGAATTTAGCAGGAAAAACAAGACCAGAAGCTAAACACATATTATTTGCATCTACGTTGAAGAAATCAGTACCCTCGACAGCTTGAAGTCTCTTATTTATGATCTGAAACTGTTCGCGGACAACCTCAGGCTCAACAAAATCGTCATGGTCTTCCCCTTGAGCACTGGCAACATTGTACTCATAGGGAGGGTTCTCAAAGGGAGCTTGGATAGCCTGGTTAATAGTGTGGACCACATGTATGGGCTCGGCGACATGGGAGCTTGAAAAACTGGTCTGACAGTCTAACCAATCATATCAGTAGATGCAAGAGGTGGAGAGTAGTTAGGAGGTAAACCAAACTCTGGCCAAGTAGATGGTGGCAATTGAACAGGAGGTAGATCAACATTTAAAACTTCTTGAATGACGGTCCTCTGAGGTGGCTCTCCTCTGGTAATCAGTACTTGAAGCATCTCGGTGAGCTTGGTCATGCCTGATTTCAACTCATCGATCTCTGTTCGGATTTTTGCATTATATGTCTCTTGTTCTGACATTTGGCGTCTATAGTTAGCTTTAGTCTAATATCTGTGTCGAGGAATCAACTTGACGACTCAAAGGGACACTGGAAGATAAAGACAACTGGGCATGAGTTACCTGACAGACATATGATATGCAATGGATCATGCAAAGATGCAAATAGGATGCAATGCGATGCAAGACAGGATGCAAAACACACAAGCAAACAAGGGTCCTAGGTTAGAGGAACATGAGCGGAGCCAGGGGCAACCCATCCCAAAGGGTATGTACTATAGGGTTAATTGTACCTGCAGAACAACGTCCTAAAGAGGTGCCCAAAATCATCAGTCCGTCTTTTGGATATTACCAATTTTCCGACTGACTCAGTGGTTAATAATATTCTCAAGAGAACCTCTTTTGAGTGTAGTATCGCGTAGCAACTATTTTGGCAATACTCCCTCATAGTCCTCGCACTACATCCTAGATAAGGCCAAAGTAGGGTTAAGGTAACTACGGCCCCCAATATCACAGACTCCTAGTCGAAAATAGTATATGTTTTCACGACTACTCGATCAACATAACTAATTTTCAAGAGGGTCTCAACTGAGCAGTGATTCTCAAGGCAGCTTGGTCGGGACTCACTCCATATAAGCCTCGTCGATCATATCACCTTCCTATAATAAGTTCACTTAAATTCGGGTGTAGGACTTATCTCACAACAAAGATACCCCAAGCAAGATACCATTCTTTAACAATCAAATACTCATCATCAACACATCTAATCTCGGTCTTTCTACTAGAGTAAAAATCAACCAGATATTGCTTATTTCCAATTAGGTGATTTGAGCATCCAATTTTCATATACCACCTGCCTACCAATTTTTCACTTGCATTCTCAAATGTCATAAATAACATAGGTTCATCATCAGAATCTCCTTTGAATATGTTGACTTCTTCACCCTAGGTAACCTTGTTTGACCAGTAATCAACAGAAAAATGGTCAAACTTGTTGCAATTGTAGCACTGAACCTTTCTCTTATCAAGTTTCTCCTTTCCCTTATGAACATTCTTATGTTTCTTCTCATCTGAATTGAAGAGTTGTGACTTTTGAGCACCATCACGATTCTTTGTCTTGTTCTTTAGCCCTTCTTGTTTCTAGTTCTTCTGGACAAAAGAAGCTTTCAGAGTTTGAGCTTTCAGACCTATTATATTTCCCTTTCAGAATTTCTTTTAGTCAGACATAACTCTTGTGGCTCTAAACTACTCTGAAGCTCTTCAATTCTCATGGTGATGGTGCCTTTCGACTGTTGTATGGCTACAACTATGCAATTAAACTGAGGAGTAGGTGATCTTAGTACCTTTTCAGTGATTACTTGTTCATAGAGCGTTACTCCACAGGAATTTATCTCATTCGTGATCACAATCACTCTAGAGATGTAATCAGGCAGCTTCTCATTGTTCTTCTTGCTGAGATTCTCGTATTACTTGCGTAGGGATTGCAACTTTAATTTCTTAACAGATGTGTCACCACCATAGCACCATAAAAGTGTATCCCACGCCACCTTCGCTGTCATTGAGTCGACAATCTTCTCAAACACCTTCATATCCACACACTAATAGATATATAACAACGTCTCTTTTTGCTTCTGTTGCATTTTCAGCAACCGTCGTTTAACCGTCATTGACGAGATCAAGAACATCTTGATCACCAAACAACACACGCCTCTTAATCGACCACATATTCAAATTCTTTCCTTCGAATACTAGAAACTTTATATTCAAGGTACCGTTTCTGCCGTTCATATTCGTTCTTGTGCAAATCACTCAATTCTCACCAACACTCGTATTTTCCAAACTCGGAGAATCAAGATTTGTCAATCTCTTTGATTTCGATCTTCAAATTAACACTAGTTTTAGAAACGAAATCAATCATCCACCTCATGTACACTCGTGTTTTCTTGTGAATTAGAATTGAAGCTCTGGATACCAATTGTTGGAGTTAACAACAAAACTAGATTATTGCACAAGAGAGAGAGGGAGAGAATAACTATATTTTCTCAATCTCAAGTTCTATTTCCGAAATGTTCAATCTACTTTAATCTACTAGAATTTGTAACTAACTTTAGACTTATATACATTAACTTAAAGTTGAATTTGAATTATAATAAGATAAAAACTAAAACTAAAACAAATTTAAACTTAAATTACATTACATTTAAATATCTTCGTCTTCAAAATCAATTCTATTTATTACCTTAATAAAAAGGAATCAAACAATAGATACATTAAAAATAGTAAGTGTTCCATCAAAGCAACTCATTTAATATAGAAAATTTGTACTACACCCCTAAGCATAGTAAATAACATATTATAGAAAAAAGTATATGCTTTTATTCATAACACTGTTAGCTTTCTTAGTAACTTCACTAATTCATACATGCACGAAAATCCAGCCATTGGTGATTGACGAAGGCAAATATAAAGCATCCTCTTTTTCCAAAAGAATGTCCAGATTCATCACCCAAGTTATGTTCTTTTCATTTTGCCACCACAATTTTGTACATTTTAACACACGTCTATATGCATGGCATAACATTGCCAAATGTTTTATTTTCTATATCTATAAATACCCTCTCATCTCATTGTACTTCATTCATCCACATCGAGCAAAGTGAATCATTAACTCAAACCAACATGGCTTCTACCACTATGAAAGCTTCATTTCCACTTTTGATGCTGCTGGGAATTGCTTTCCTAGCTTCAGTTTGTGCCACTTCTAGATCCGATCGAGAAAATCCATTTATCTTTGAGTCTAACCGATTTCAAACTCTTTTTGAGAATGAAAACGGTCACATCCGTCTTCTCCAAAAATTTGACCAACGTTCCAAAATATTTGAGAATCTTCAAAATTACCGTCTTTTGGAATATAAGTCAAAACCTCACACTATATTTCTTCCACAATACACCGATGCTGATTTCATCCTTGTTGTTCTGAGTGGTACTTTATTATTTATCAAGTTGATATTTAAAATTAATTACAAATAATTTATTTAAAAGAAACCAAGTTTATTACTTTGTTTTGTAAGGATAAATTAATGTTAATTGTAATAATTTTTCAGGAAAAGCTATACTTACAGTGTTGAAACCCGACGATAGAAACTCCTACAATCTTGAGCGTGGAGATACGATAAAACTTTCTGCTGGCACCATTGCTTATTTGGTTAATCGAGATGATGACGAAGATCTTAGAGTATTAGATCTCGCCATTCCCGTAAATAGACCTGGCCAAATTCAGGTAATATAGCCAATGTTTACCTCTTATGATATTAAATATGGTCTCCATGCACTTGTATAAAAAAATTTAAGGTTCTCTGTCGTAACATCACAATAATGATTGTGATTTATTTATACATATTTTACTTTAAAGTTCTTCTAATGATCTTTTTTTTTTTTTTTTTTTCAATAGTCTTTCTTACTGTCTGGAAATCAATACCAACAATCCATCTTATCTGGATTCAGCAAGAACGTTTTAGAAGCTTCCTTCAATGTAAGCACAAAACACACAATATCTTCATTTTTTATGTATTAGTTTTGTTTTTTACTTGTTAATATTTTCTTTGTCATTGTAAATTTTGTAAAAAACATAGACCGGTTACGAAGAGATAGAGAAGATTCTTTTAGAAGAGCAGGAAAAAGAGACACGACACAGAAGAAGTCTCAGGGATAAGAGACAACAGAGTCAAGAAGAGGCTGTAATTGTCAAATTATCAAGGGAACAAATTGAGGAATTGAGCAAAAATGCAAAATCTAGCTCCAAAAAAAGTGTATCTTCTGAATCTGAACCATTCAACTTGAGAAGTCGCAATCCTATCTACTCCAACAAGTTTGGCAAATTCTTTGAAATCACCCCAGAGAAAAATCCACAACTTCAAGACTTGGATATACTTGTCAATTCTGTGGAGATTAAGGAGGTATGATAAAATTATTTTATAATATTGGAAACTAACTAAATTGCGCAACAAGATTTCACTTGATCAAATTTCAATTGTTCTAAATAATTTGATTTTTTCATTGAAGTTATAATGTCAAACTTTTGTTATTAAGATGACATCTAATAGACGATAAATTTTATATACTCAACAACATGTTTTAATTATAGAACATACAACTAAACTGTTTATTTAATTATTGTTTCAAATTGAATTTTAGGGATCTCTATTGTTGCCACACTACAATTCAAGGGCTATAGTAATAATAACTGTTAACGAAGGAAAAGGAGATTTAGAACTTGTGTCTCAAAGAAATGAGAACCGACAAGGGCAGAGAAAAGAAGATGACGAGGAAGAGAAAAAAGGAGAAGAAGAGATAAACACAGAAGTGCAAAATTATAAAGCGAAGTTGTCTCCAGGAGATGTTGTTGTAATTCCAGCAGGTCATCCAGTTGCAATAAAAGCTTCCTCAAATCTCAATTTGCTTGGATTTGGTATCAATGCTAAGAACAACCAGAGAAACTTTCTTGCAGGTATATATAATATCAATCAACCTCCTTCTCTATATACATTCATTTTAAGTATGTATTTTTAAAAGTACGCTTCTATTTAAATCATGGAGAAAATAGTTATTAAGATATATTTATTTTGTGGGTGATTGAAAATTTGAAGGCAAGGAGGACAATGTGATTAGTCAGATACAACGACCAGTGAAAGAGCTTACATTCCCTGGATCAGCCCAAGAGGTTGATAGGTTATTAGAGAATCAGAAACAATCTTACTTTGCAAACTCTCAATCTCAACAAAGAGAGATAGGAAGCCGTGAAACAGTAAACCGTCTATCTTCAATTTTGGATACTTTTTAACGAATGAACAAATAGTATGCATGTATGCTATCAAGAGATATAGCTCATAGTGAGCAAGAAATAAAATAATAATGTTCTCTTGTAACTATAAATATATCTCCACTTTTCTACTATGAATAAATAAATTAAGAGTATTTTGGTGTTCCTCTTAGCTATTATGTTTTTTAATTAATAAATTTTTATACTTCTATGAGTATGAACAATCTTTTCCCATTAAAAAAAGTATGTATAATTCAATCAACCATAAACAGTTGATTCTTCCTTTCAACTATCTTTTTTAGTTATAGTTTTATCAGACAATTAAAATTGCGCATGTATATGCTGTTAGAAATATTGGTAAAGTTGAATGGATATAGGTATGAATTTTGAATGGAGTTACTTTCCTTAAAATTATTTCAAGCACTCTCTTTATTGTCCTAGAGTTTAGAAAGCAAGAATACCCAGGATAGTTCAGCCTTTGAATCGAGTCTGCACAAGATTGGTGAAGAACTCAAATGCAAGGAAGAGTGTCTAGAATAATGGAGAATTTATAATTTTTATTGTATGATTTTTGGATTCTGAATAATGTACTTATAGGTCATGCATGTGTTGTTTCACAAGTTTTCAACTCTTAAAGAAACAACACCTTTTTAGCATAAGATTACAATGGTTCGACTATAGTTACATTATACACCACTTCATAAAATATTGTATATTTTGAATACGAAATTCAAACTTTCAGTATCCCGAGACAAATTTAACGGAAACTTTCCTTGGTCGATGTTTAGTGCAAAATATGACCAAAATTTCAATAAAATGAAGTATAAAGAGTGTTAATACAGATAGGTACATTTTGATTTTAAAATTAACCTTAGTGAGGGCAACGTAAAGTTTAATTGAAATGTTAGGTAGTAGTGCTTTTAAACCATTAATCCATATGATTATACCGGAGTTACCTTACACACACTCTTTAAGGGTTCTTCCCCTATATATCTCGATTAACACTTATTTATAGTCATATGCTTTCTTGTTTCATGAATTTTACGTGAGACAAACTCCAACTCTCACTTTGACACGACACCATCTCGAAATTCACATAGGGGAAGTTCATATTGTATCCTTTTCCATGAGACACATACTCTCGGTATTGAACTTCATTAAGAGTTTAAATAAAAACACAACACTCATTTTAAAGGTCAAAATTATCACGAAATGTTCGACAAACATCCAAATCAACAATTTCTTGTTACCCGTGAACATTGAGGTTAATGTTCTATTAACTTAATATTTGATTGTTGCCACTGTCGGAACTCTTACTCAAGGAGTTTCAACCTCATGCCTCTCGAGGTTATTTTTACTAAGTCTCTGGTCAGTGGATTAATAAATGGATCAACTAAATTATAGCTCATTTGTATATATGTGATTGAAATGATTCATTCTTTGATCAATTTTCTCATAAAGGTATGTATAAGTCCTATGTGTCAAGACTTTTCATTATACACTTCGCTAAATGCTCTTGATAAAGTGGTTTGGCTATCACAGTGTATGAACACCTTTGAAACAATGTATTTTTCCAATGGAACTTCTAACAAAACTGTGGTTTGGCTATCGCAGTTTACCCAACAAATCCCCAGAACTATGCAACAATTCCTTTCTATAGCTTTTCCATGAAAGTGGTAATTTTGCAATGATTGCAACAACATGAAAGGTCTCAGGAAAGTATATTTTCACAGTATTTATTTTATTCACGAGAACCTGTAACTCGTGCACTTGGGGAAGAATGGGCTTGAAATCTATGAATTTAAATTCAAAGTATATCAAAATTAAAAACTTCTTTGTACCTTCCTCTTCGGCCTTAAATTTAAATTCGAGTGCTTTCCATTTTTTTGTTGTAGACTGAGTATCCGTATAAAGGTCATGGAGATGATCAAATAATGTATTCAGGATATGTGTATGGTATAGCAATTTTTCCTCTTTACGTTTCTTACCCTCCTTCTTGATTTTATCCGAGTCATCCTCAGTTGGTTAAGAAATTGGTGGTAAGTTATGATCTAAAACATAGTGAACTTTTAGAGCGGTCAATAGGAATGTCATCTTATCTTTCCATCGGGTGTAGTTATTCCATCAAAGCGATCCAACTTGAAAAGGTCCTTGTTCATAACCTTGATACTTGAAACTGCAAAGTCAGAAGCCATTTGAATACTTTTATGATTGTTAGAAATATTTGTAAAGTTGAATGGATCTAGGTCTGAATCGTGAATGGAGTCACTTTCCTTAAAAGTATTTCAATCACTCTCTTTATTGTCTTAGAGTTTAGAAAGCAAGAATTCTTAGGATAATTCAGCCTTTGAATCGAGTCTGCACAAGACTAGTGAAGAACTCGAATGTAAGGAAGAATTTTTGGAATAATGTATTTATAGGCCATGCATGTGTTGTTTCACAAGTTTGCAACTCTTGATGAAACAACACATTTTTTACATAATATTGTAATGGTTCGCCTATACTTACATTATGCACCACTCATGAAGTGCGGTATATTTTGAATTCGAAATTCAAACTTTCAGTAACTCGAGACATATTTAACGGCAACTTCACCTGGTGGATGTTTAGTGTAAAAACTAATAACAATCCCTTCATACAAATTAAAGGCAAATTCTAATGGTGGATGTTTAGTAAAAAAACTTACCAAAATTCCTTCAGACAGATTTGAAGGGACTTTCCACTTTTGTCTATAGAATACTTTTATCCTCTTTAACTTTGTCATATTTAAACACTCCTATAGACATTAATTGTTCATTAATTTCCAATATACGTAACTATGATATTTTTTATCATGGGAAATATTTTAAACCATGAAAAAAATAATAGATGATAGTAAAAAAATTAGAAAGTCCAAAGTTCCTAAAAAAAAGAGTTGTCATACTAGATACAAATGACAAATTTTATACTAGTATGGGCCTAAAGTTTCCATTCAAAATATATAACAAATAATATATTAAGAGAGTCATTAACTAAAAACCCATAACACATAATATTTAAACTAATATAAATATTTGATATCTCATATCTATGATCTGTGAAATAAAAATATAATAATAGAATAAAAAACACTATCAAAACTAAATAAAAGTATAATATTCAAAAATTTAGAAGACTCTAAAACTAACTCATGAGAAAGAAATACTTTTCAATGATTTATTTGACTATATATATAATTTTAATAATTGATAATAAAGTAAAATATCAAAAATTATAAAATAAATCAAATCAATAAACTTAAGAAATAAGTTTTGAGATAAAAGGACAAAGGATAACCTAAGAGTGGGAGGATGAATTAGATTTTAAGAATATGTCTCGTTATTTTGTAAAGGCTCAGTTTCTTTTATTTTGCAGAAGAACAATGATAAACTTATGAATAATAGTGTAAAAAAATAAAATTCCTAAAAATCTAATAACCTTAAAATGCTCTGGAACATTTTGCAATGATATGACAATTTATGAAAAAAAAAATGGTTTCAAGATTTAGGATGGAGAAAAAGTCTTAAACATATTTGAATTCTTATTTAAACTTGAGTAGAAGAGGTGAAATAGAATTTTGAATGATTTACCTTATATACATCCTATGAAACATGTTGGATTAGTTTTACATGTTGGTAGATATTTGTGAAGGTTTGTATTTGTTTAGAATATAAATGGTTTATGAAAGAATGCATTCTAAAATTTTGAACGTTCAATTTTTTCAAAGATCCAGACAACGTAACTGGTTGTATAAATTGTTAATTGCTTACACCTTTAAAATATTTGAAAAATATCACAAAAAAGAACTTGTAACTGGTTACCAACAGAGTGTAACCAATTACACTATTTTGTTACTTGAAAAATGCTTTTACAAATGACTTGGTGTCGCAACTGCGAAAAAAACCTAGCGGAAAAACAGAAGAGTCATCGCCGAATGTTATTTATCCCAATGAAGGGAAATGAAACTATCGAAGAAAACCTCAAATGAGGTAGAAGACATGGTCGTCCCAACCAAATCTGGGGTTCGAGAGTCGATTACGCGAGAGGAAGGTATTATCACCCCCTTGCGTCTATTGTACTCAACAGGATACACGTTTGTTGCCTAATCAATAAGTGTGTTATCTAAAGCCTACTGCTAAACGGAAACGAGAACCGTAAAAGAAAAAAAGGAGACTCGATAGGACTTTGTCACCCTATGCCTACGCATTCTCTCGTGCAATGAGAAAGTCAGAGTTAACATAGTTCAGAAAACTACGGGTGAATGGGGGAAAGGTTTCTCACCAAGGCATTGCCGTCTTGTGCCTACGTATCCTCATCTGGAATGAAAAATCAGAGCAGTCGTAGTTCGGCTCACCACGAGTTTCTTAGTGTTTTTTATGAGCGACACTAAGTTCCCATTCCAGCAGTTAGGGTCGATGCCTGTTTGCAGTAGAACGGAAAAGTAACATACTCTTTATGAAAATGGTTTGACAAACGATCCCGAAGGATAAAACTGATTTGAATTTGTTTGTGGATTTTAGATTAATGACACTACAAGAAAAACGATGGATTGCGACGGTTATTTTGGCAGGTTACGACGGTTAAAACCACCACCAATTACATTCTACGACGGTTGTAGTACCGTCGCAAAAACGTGTGTCCCCAGGCTGTTTAGCGACGGTTGAAAAAATCGTCACACACAACCGTCATTATATTTCACGACGGGCTTGAACTGACCTAAACGGGAGATAGCGACGGTTAAAGACCGTCGTTACTAGCCTTTTGATTTTTATTTTCATTGTTGATTGTGACGGTTTAAAACTGTCGTGAACTCTATTTCACGACTGGTTGGAACTGACATAAATTAGAAATGACAACAGTTAAATACTGTCGTGAATATGGTTTTGATTTTTAAGTGCAGGTAAATTGTGGCGGTTTGAACGGCCGCAAATTACGAATATTTTAAAAAAATTCTACCCTTAATATTTTAGCTATATTATAAAAAATAATATATATATATATAT